AGAGAGAGAGAGAGAGAGAGAGAGAGAAAGAGAGAGAGGGAGAGGTTGAATGACAAAATTTAAATATGAGTCAAATTACGGTCGCGATCTATTTCACACGTTTTAAATTTATTAAACCATTTCCCTGGAAAGATCACAACAAAATCTACAAGTACTCAAATTTTCAGGTTTTTTTCACGTATTGTTTTGAGTGAGAAAACTCATTGAATTTGGAGTACTTTTTCAGTTGGCCCACACATGGTTGAGTGGCAAAATGGAAAATGTGCCAAATTTGCGCAACAATTATTTTGGGGTCTACATGAATTTTTGAAAATGTTATGATACTTTTTATGGAAAGAACATGACCTCATATATGGATTCTCAAAATTTTAGATTTTTTGGCGGATTCCTCTGAGCACAAAAAATCGTCAAAGTTGCCTTCGTTGCGCCCGAGCTGCCTGTTTGCAGCCCTAAGGCTGCGGTATAGTGGGCTTCCACGTTTGTGTCAAGGTGTAGCATTTTCAGTGGCGGCCGACCAGGACGCAAAGTGGGTTGCTAGGGGACGAAAAAAATTGGGGGACCGGTCCTTGGCAAAATTGCGGACTACCTACAACTAGCTTTGGTAGAACCGGGACTTTTGAAAAAACGAAGGACCGGTCCTTGGGTAGAAGTGGCAAAAAGAAGTGGGGGGTGTTGGACTGGTTCTCGGGTATAAGGAGACCCCAAAAAGAAGTGAGGGCATGTGAACTGCAAAAGGGCCCTCAGGCCTAGGCGTTGAGGCTCGTCTTTTCAAAACAAGGAGGTGAGGCACAACGAAATAGGCGTTTTGCAAAAGGCAACTTTGACGATTTCCTGTGCTCGGACGAACCCGCAGAAAATCTGAAATTTCGAGAATCCACAGATGAGGTCCTGTTCTTTCCAAAAATAATATTAGAACATTTTCAAAAAATAATTTAGACTGCGAAATAATCGTCATTCCGATTCGACACATTTTCCATTTTGCCGCTCAGCCATGTGTGGGCCAACTAAAAAAGTACTCCAAATTCAGTGAGTTTTCACGCATCAAAGAATGCATGCGTGAAAAACCTGAAAATTGGAGTACTCGTAGATTTTGTTGTGATCTTTCCAAGAAAAACGCTTAATAAAAATAAATAAATCATTCCAATTGTGAAATAGATCGCGACTGCAATTTGACCCATAGTTCAATTTTGCCATTCAACCTCTCTCTCTCTCTCTCTCTGGTAGACCCCCCCCCGCCCCCTCTCTCGCTATCTCTCTTTCTTTCTCTTTCTCACTCTATGTCTCTCTCTATCTCTCACTGACACCAACAAATGGAACAAAACTCCCTCTCTCTCTCTCTCTCTCTCTCTCTCTCTCTCTCTCTCTCTCTCTCTCTCTCGTCGCCCCCCCCTCTCCTCTCTCTCTCTCTTTCTTTCTCTCTCTCACTCTTTGTCTCTCTCTCACACTCATAATAATAAATGGAACAAAACTCTCTCTCTCTCTCTCTCTCTCTCTCTCTCTCTCTCTCTCTCTCTCTCTCTTGTGCGAGCTCTCAGTCTCATTGCTTTGGCTACCTTAGGGCTGCGTTCCCCGCACCCACGAGGTAGACAATTTTGAGAAGACCGGCGTCAACACTGGGGCCTGAGGGTCCTTTTGCAGTTCACATGCCCTCACTTCTTTTTGGGGTCCGCTTCCACCCGAGGACCGGCCCTTCCTTTTTCCAAAAGTCCCGGTTCTACAAGAGCTAGCTGTAGGTAGTCCACAATATCTTGAAGGACCGGTCCCCCAAATTTCCACCCACTTGCATGGTGGTCACCCGCCGCCAAACATGCGACACCTTGACACAAACGCCGAAGCCCACTATACCGCAGCCTTAGGGCTGTGAACTGAGCTAGGGCAGCCACCTTTACACCTTATCCCCTGCTATATCTGAAAGAGTACAGCACAGGGGTGGGTTCGAACTCAAGCCTGTGTTTCAACAGTTCATGAATGAATATGCACCAACTGAGCTACGCCAGCCAAGTTTACACCTTATCCCCTGCTATATCTGAAAGAGTACAACACAGGGATTAGGGTTGTCAGGGCAAAAAAACCTTGGCTTGAGGGATCAGCCGTTTGGCGGCTGGGGTTCTTCTACGGGGGGCTCCGTTCAGTTCAGTACCTTAGGCAATTTCGAGGATCTGAGCCCCTTCTTTTTCCGCCCCCTTGTTGGTGTCCGATTTTTTGCGGCCCTGAGGAAAACACTGGCTGGCGGTCCGATCACCGATCCACGGGCCGACTTTTCGCAGGCGTGGCCGGTTCAGTCGAGGTCAAATCCCGGAGGGACTGGTGCGGAGGGGGTGTTTGGAGAGGAGAGAGAGGGAGGGGGGAGGGGAAGGGGAGAATGGATGATTTGCCCGTTCTCCGGCTCTGTTGGGACAGGCCTACCATCACTTTTCCTGTTGGGCGAGTGTCCAGAAAGCAGGAAAGCGGTTCAAGGACATTTACACGTGTCAATCAATGGGAACAGGGACAGGGAAGCAAGAGTAGCTGGGAGAGAGGAGGAGGGCAAGGGCAACATGGTGCTCCCCGTCTCTTCTGCCTTCGCGGCGCCGTCTGTCCCCCGCTCATGTGTTGGTGGTCATATTGTGAGAAGTACCCCGGCGGTAGGGTTTTGGTCTTCCCGTTCGTCTTTCAGTGTAGCATTCCCATGTCTCGTGTTGTGCCCTGCTTCCGCGCAATTGGCGCGCCCTGGCTGACCGGGCAAATTATCGTGGTAGTGGCAAGTGACACGGACGAACACTTGCCATTCTTGTGTGAGCCAAGTCCATCACTTATTGTAGAGGAAAGGAGAGGGGGGGATCAGGGTGTGTGACGAAATGTCCTCTTCAGGGAGACGTTCGCGTAATTCAGAAGGAATTTTGTCGTCTTCTCGAGGGGGGGGGGGKGGTGGCGGCGTAGGGGGACATACTACTAATACAACTGAAGGCGCTGGGGGGTCGGGATCATCAAGGTCTCGGGGCATCCGGGGTTGTAGTGGTAATAGCACACTTACGGAGCTTGCAGATATCCCTGGAGGAGGAGGGGGAGGAGGGGGAGGAGGGGGAACAATGGTCAGCGACAGGAAGAGTGAGAAAAAGGCGGGAACGAAGAGGAGTGGAGGGGGAGAAGCTGCCGCCGCGGAGAGTGGTGGGACACGTGGAACAACGGCTAATAGGAGCGACGGTTCTCATCAGCAGGCTCAGGAGGGGAGGGGTTCCGCGCCGCACAAGAGTCATAGGCGGCGCTGGGAACCGTTGCCTGAGGCGGACTCAGAGGCGGGGTCCACTGTCCCATCACGAGCATCAAAGAAGCTCCGTGGAGATGGAGGAGGAGGAGGAGGAGGTGGGGGATTGAACAATGGCGGATTGGAAGAAGGTGCGGCGGTGATGGATCGCCGAAGAGCGTCGCCCTATGAGGGGCCGACGCCTCTGCCCGCGGATTTTGATCGATGGGATGGAGGCAGCACCGAGGATTTCACTGGCTCGACCATCTTCTCAAGGTACGAACCGTTGAAGCTGACGAGGGGTAGCGACGGGACCGAGGGGGGGGGCGGGGGGGGGAACGTCGGCGCGCTTAGTGAAAAAGGCGGGAAGAAACAGAGTTTGGGAGGCGGTGGGGGTTCCAAAAGCTCTCAGAGGCTGTCATCTACCCTAGGAAACGCTGCGGCGGCCCCCGTGTCAACCGGCACGGAAGGATTGGGTCGGGTTAATGGTGGGGGAGGGGCG